AATATAAAAAATTTGATATTTTACATTCTTTTTGTACCAAGTCTTCAATCCATTGTATTTTATACTCAAAGTACATCTCTATTTGAACGAGTCACATTTCAATTGCTCAACAGCCAGCATATTAGACAATGCACCTCTAGATCTTTCCTTCCTCAGTGTATACATTGACTTCAAGATGAAATAAGGCCCTTCCCCCCAAATCTTTACCCATTTGCCAAAGAAAAGACTGTCAAGCCCCTTTATCAGAGTCTGACAGGTGGAAACTACCTCAAGGCATACGAACTACTCCAGGGATACCTGTTTTGAGGGTGCTGATGTAAATTCCCATGGCTTCTCTGAGAAGTTTCACCCCTTCTTCTTTCATTAAGGCCACGAGATTTGTGTCAGGCTCATCTTTGGCAAGGCTCACACTAATCTGAGTGAAAGATCAGAAGTAGGTGGTAAATCACGTGAGGGGTACCTGCGCTGTGGAATGTGGTGCTGAGCAATCAGATAACTGACGTTTCCAAAGGAAACGGGTGAGGGATGGGGCATTCGTACAATCCCCATGAGTGTCCCTTCTCAGGCTCTCTCTGCCAAGGCAAAGGTGGTCGATGTTAGAACCCACAGCACCAGCTAAAGCAAAGCAGCTAAAGAAGCACAAGCTGCTCTGGAGGCTGCCAGTGGCACCACTGACCTAGAAAGTCATCCAAACGGGGGTTCTGAATGCATGGGCCCAGCTGGCCTTTACTTTTGAGTGACAGCTCATTGTTCTCCTCTTACTCTCAGGTAAGAGGATGTGGAAGCACAGAGGAGGAGGGAGGAAGCACAAACCTCTACTTCGTCCACGCTGTTTTCGTCAGACAAATTGGGGATCTCCACGTGTCCCTTGTACTGCACCCCAGACGGAGAGGTACCTGCCAAAAGCAAGGCCATGTCACTGTCTCCTCTGCACGAAAAGTCACCTGCTCTGGAGCCCTAACTACCACCCTGCTTACACTCCTTTGGACAACTGAACGGACCCTCTTTATTCTGAGAAAAATGTGACACGACACACCAGATGCAACGGACCTTCTTCCCCCAGCAGAAATGTCTTTCCTCGTCAAATTTCTTGAACTTGTGTGTTATTACCATGTGGGACCGAGAACTGCCAAATTCTGCCAGGGAGGACTTGAGTCAATAGCCAATACAGTCAGTTCTGCTAGAATGCTTCGTTAGAAAACACAAATTTGTCCCAATGTGACTGATACATTAGGGGACATTGGATCATAACATGAATTTCACATTGGCTCATATGTGATTCCCTCTATGAGAAACACTAGGTGAACATAAAAAACCACACCATTTAATTGAGCGGTACAGGAACACACAAAACACATCTCAAACATCTCCTTGCTAGTGACTTCAGTGCACTACGCCTGTTATAAGCCACGCCATTCACAACTGGTGTTATCCAGTTCCTTCTGATTTCAGATGACCCTCCTCCCACCACTTCACAATAACACCCAAGCCACAATTCTTCTGCCGCCCATTTTCACAAGTAAACTTCAGGTCTTTTTCAAGTAAAGCACCATATTTATTGTATTATTTATGTATTTCTTATAATTTAACATATTTAAAACTGTGCTATCCAGATTTACGTTCCTAAAATTTCTTTTTTGTTAATCCTCACCCCAAGGATATTTTTCCCATTGATTTTTAGAGAGGGAGGAAGGGAGGGAAGGGGAGAGGGAGGGAGGGAGGGAGGGAGGGAGGGAGGGAGAGAGAGAGAGAGAGAGAGAGAGAGAGAGAGAGAGAGAGAGAGAAACATTGATGTGAGAGAAGCAAATTGATTGGTTGTCTCCCACAAGTACCCCAAGCAGCACGGGATTGAACCTGCAACCTAGGTATGTGCCCTTGAGTGGGAATTGAACCCCAGGGCCCTTCAGTTGCCTGGGCCAATGCTCTAACCACTTAGCAACACTGGCCAGGGCTTGGTCTTAAATTTTTAAAAACGAGTCATTGATGAAATTTTTGCATGTTGTATGCCTAATCCTCTCTTCTCCATTAGCCCTGCGGTTTTCATTGAGCAACTTTGCATAGTGCAGTGACTTTTAGGAATACATTATAGCAGAACTGACTGTATTTCAAAACATTTATTTACTCTCACTTCACTAGGCCTCAGTTTCTCAATCTATGAAAAGAGGTTGGGGCAAGATGATACCTAAGGTTCCTTTTAGACCACTATGCTTTTGTAGTTAAATCAAACAAAAAAAACCCAAACCTGATACATCTACTTTCCCCCTCTTTATTACCATTTATTTGAGAAATATTTTCTGAAGCATAAATTTATTTTATGATTTGCCTCCTACACATAATTCTTTAGCTTTAGGGCCTTTTAAAATTCAGCCTCCCAACTGAAGGACCTTCTAGTAGGGCATATGCATGGTCCCAATTCTTTGCTAGTATCACAGAAGGGACAGAGGATAAAGCTGCCCCAAATTAGTCACATGTGAGCTTCGCCAGCACGTAGTTTAACCTGCCAGAATCACACTGAAGGCAATTAATAAGAGCAAGACCAAAAAAAAAAATAAATCCCTCTCCCCACTTTCCTATCATCCAAGTGACAGAAGTAGCTACAGCCCAAGCCCCCAAAACATAGGTGCACAGCGGCTTCGCTGTGGTGACTCTTTCAGACTCACAGCGAGGAAACCCACTTAGTGTCCCAGCATCTCACGCTGCTTTCTGTAGGTCACCGAAGCAGCACACCTCCCCTGCAAAGTTCATGACCTCTTAAAACTTGTGCCTGGCTCCTTAATACATCCGTCAGTGCAGCCCAGCACACTCACCTGTCCAGTTTAGTTTGATGCTCCACTCATAAAAGAAGATAAGTTTGCCTTTGCGATTGTTAATGGACGCCTCTCCATCAAGCTTGTTCACTTCTGTCACCTCACACTTGCCTTCCTCATTTTGCACCCGCACTGCCAGGAACAGTGTTTTCAGCTTATCCGTGGACCAGTTTGAAGCATCCCTCTCTGTCCTGCAAAACAGAAACAAGGCTATGGACCAGCAGCCAACTGCAGAGCACTCTGCTTGCTCTAGTCAAGAGAACGGCAGGCTAGCGGAGGCCTGACAAACGGTTTAAAAATAACAGAAAACCCTCAGTCCCATTCCAGTATGTCCACAAACGTTGTCACTCTTTTAGGAAGACAAGGAGTCACATACTGTCAACGAGGACAACTGCTGCACAGAACGGTTACAAACTAAATCAGCATAATGGTTCTGGCGTGGGTATTTGACAGGACACCTTCACGCGGTGCACAGTGCCACTTGACCCCGTGGAAATCTGTGCACATCTTACCGAAGTAAGCAGCACAGAGGAGGCCACAGAATGCATGAAAAGTCCAGGGAGGAATAAACCAATAATCTTGACCCGATCAGCACAGTGTTCTGACCTGGCAGGTTCAGGCCGTGTCATACACGCCTTACACATTGTGAGCCCTCTAGACGGGCCGTGAAAACAATGGAAGCCCAGAGCTTCAAAACAAACAAAAATGAGGCCAAACACTCCGTGTCCGTTCACAGGAGCGGAGGCCGGGCTGAGATAAGGAGAAGAAAAAGGACAATCTGCCCGGCAACATACTAAACGAGCAGAGAGGAACGGCAAAACGCTGCAACAAAGTAAAAAAAAACAAAAAGTGAAGACAGTATGAACAGAGTTCAGCGAAGTCGGGAGATAAGGAAACTCCCCCCGGAAGATTTCATGCAGGAGAGGCGGCTTTGGAAGAGGGGTTAGGATATAAAACCACGCTTGCCCGGCAACCGGGGGCAGCCCCTGCAGTTACAGCACAACCGACCCATCAGTTCCGGGCGAGGCCAAGGCGTCCTCACCGTCCTGAGCTCTGGGCGCCTGGGGAGCACGCTCCAAACCGCTCTCGGGACGGAGGCGGTGGTCCCCAGGACTTTCCATTTCACCCCTAAGCCGCGAAACAGGAATCCAAGCCCCCCCCTACCCCCCCGTCCTGCGCCCGAGCCTTACACAGCGACCTCCCCACGCGATCCGCGCCCGCCGTTTGGCCGCACTGTCTCCTCCGACCACGTGCGGGGACCACCTCTTTGCTCGGACTGGAAACAGGAGCCGGGGGGTTATGCTTTCACCTCTCGGAAACCCCTCTTCTGGGGGCACCCCTCCACGCTGCTCCTCGCCCCCTAAACACTGAGACGGCAGCCGGGGGAGGCCTGGGGCTGGGACCACGGCGTGGAGAAGAGCCCACCCCCATCCCGGGCAGGGCTGCCTCGGCCCCAGCTTTGTCCCGGGGACCCCGCAGCCCGGCATGGCGCAGCGCTCCGGCGGCCTGGCCCGCTAGCCCTCACCAGTGCCAGTTGTTGACGTTGGTGGCGTCCGCCCGCTCTTCCACGATCCAGCGTGGGTCACCCTCGCCCCACTTGGCCATCGGCTTTCCGATCGCGCCGTCACCAGGTCCCGAGCAGCCCCAGCAACCACCTCAGTACCGCCTGGTCCCGAGCAGCCCCAGCAACCACTTCAATACCGCCTGGTCCGAGCACCCGGCAGCGCCTAGAAACTACTAGAAGCGGCCGCAGAACCTTCTGGCTTGCTTTTCCCTCCACCCCCCACCCCCTCCCCGCCTTAACTTCCGGCTCCTCCTCACTCCCACCCGGTACTTCCGTCCCCCCTCGCCGGACTTGGCTTCCGCCAGTTCTAGGGTTCTTTCAGGCTGCCTTGGGTAATCAAGGGGCCCGAACCGCAACCGCTCATTCGACCTCTCCTAATCCGCAGGGACACAAAGGACACGTCTCATTGTTTTCCCGGACCCCGAGTGGCCTCTGCTGAGCCTCCTGGGAGTTGTAGTCTCGCTAAGTGACCCGCAGGGCAACTACGGAAGGTCACGCTAGAAGTGAAGGAAACGACCCCAGCACCGTGCTCTGGAGATTCTGGGAGCTGTAGTTAATAAGCCCCGTGGTCCTGCCGCGCAGCGCCTGACGCGAGAGCGGAAAGAAACTACAACTTCCAGCATGCCCTGCGCCGCCTTTCTTGCCGCAGGTGCCCTCTAGACGCCCCTCCGCGACTGTCGCCTTCCGCCCCTATGCTATGCCGCACACCCAGTCTAGAAAGGCTTGTCTAGCAGCCGAAGAGCCTGGCGCGGTCCTGATTGGGAGGGCTCGGTGTGGAAGAGGTGAGGGTGTCCCAAACCCCTTGAGCCGCGGGTCTGGCTGAGTCCAGCCTCTTCGCACCATGATCTTTCCCCCTGTTCTTTGAGGCGTCGCTAGACACCCCCAGGCCTGACTCTTTCTGTCGGAGCTCCCCAGGCTGGGAGACCAGAGTACGCTCAGGGTTGGAGCTGGGACTCAGCCCTGACGTTTGATTTAAACGAGTATTTAGTCAACCAAGGGTCCGCCGGGCTGTGGCAACTGCGGTAGATCCTTGACTTCTTGGACGTTTGTCACTAATTTAACTCACATCCTCTGGTCTCAGTTCATAGCCTCATCCCTGTAGGCCTGGCTTGGCAGAGGATAACCGAATCCGAATCTAACTTCTCCATAGCTGGCTTCTGGGTTGTCCTGAGGCAGGGAAGCTTGTTGGTTATGGATTTATTTATTTTACTTTTAATTGATGTTTTAGAGAGAGAAACATTGATTTGTTGTTACACTTATTTATGCATTTATTGTTTGATTTTTGGATATGCCCTGACCAGGGATCCAACCATCGACCTTAGCGTGTTGGGACCACACTTCAACCAACTGAGCTACTCAGCCAGGGCCTGGTTTCCGGGTTTTGATCCCCTCACTCCCCATCTTTCTTGGTCATGTTCTTGTTCTCCCCTCGTGGGCTTTTATTAAATAGGTGACCATAAGGACAAGTCTCTGAAGTATTTTTTAAAATATAGTTTAATTGATTTCGGAGAGGAAGGGAGAGGGAAATAAGAGATAGAAACATCAGTGAGAGAGAATCATTGATCCGCTGCCTGCTGCACGCCTCTTACTGGGGATCAGCCTGCAACCCGCGCGTGTGTCCTGACTGGGAATCAAACTGTGATCACCTGGTTCATAGGTCAGTGCTCAACCATTGAGCCACACTGGCTGGGCCTCTGAAGTATTTTAAACGGTGTTAAAACAACCTTTTTCACTCTTAAAATTGTACCTGCTTGCTTTATAAGTTCTTGAGCCATTAAATATTTACCCCTTTACTTGCCAAGTAAATCTAGGTTCTGATTTGGCAATAGACAAATTGATGTCAAGTATCTGTCCAAGTCTACAATGTGTGGTTAAAAAATTCTAGCCCTGGCCAGTGGCTCAGTTGGTTCTAGTGGTTGAGAATACACCAAAAAGTTTCGGGTTCGATTTCCATCAGGGCACATACCTAGGTTGCAGTTTGATCCCCAGTGGGGGTGTGTACAGGAAGCAACGGATCAATGTTTCTCTCCCCCCTTTCTCTCTCTCTCTTTTTAAAATTTTTTTTAATTGATTTCAGGGAGGAAGGGAGAGGGAGAGAGAGAGAAACATCAATGATGAGAATCATCTATCGGCTGCCTCCTGCACGCCCGAAACCCCGGCATGTGCTTTTGACCAGAATCGAACCCGGGACCCTTCAGTCCGCAGGCCGATGCTGTATCCACTGAGCCAAACCAGCCAGGGCCCCCTTTCCTCTCTTACTAAAATCAGTAAAAGCATATCCTCTGTGTAGATATTTACAGATATTTATTTACTATAGTGAAAGATGACCTGCCCTAGTTTTTCCTATAGTGAAAAATAGAAGGACCATGCAGGTCAAAGTGGAAATGATCCAGGAGTCAGCAAACCAGGATCATAGGAGCAATTAGCAAGGTGGCTTTGATAGCTAATCCTTTTGTGCCTCATTTCCCTCAACAGTGAAATGGAAAAAAAATCTGCCAGGCCTGACTTACAGGGTTGTTCTGAGGATGACAAAGTGAGTGCTTTATAAATTGGCACCTGTGCCAGAGACATTTACAGTATATGCTCTATGCACACCTACAGTGTTTGTGATGGCCACTAAGAATTTTTATATCAAATTTTTTTTAATCTTTAGGATTGCTTAAAAATATTTTCTTTCTAGCTTCTTCCAAGGTACCATAATACTTTATTAATAATAAAAGTTAAGGGCTCTGACTGGGTGGTAGGTCAGTTGGTTAGAGCATTGGCTGGATACACCAAGGTTGTGGGTTCAATCTCTGGTCAGGGCACATATAAGAATCAACCAATGAGCCAAAACCGGTTTGGCTCAGTGGATAGAGCGTCGGCCTGTGGACTGGAAGGTCCCAGGTTCGATTCCGGTCAAGGGCATGTACCTGGGTTGCGGGCACATCCCCAGTAGGAGATGTGCAGGAGGCGGCTGATCGATGTTTCTCTCTCATCGATGTTTCTGACTCTCTATCTCTCTCCCTTCTTCTCTGTAAAAAATCAATAAAATATATTAAAAAAAAAAAAAGAATCAACCAATGAATGCATAAATAAGTGGAATAACAAATGGATCTTTCTTCCTCTTTCTCTAAAAATAAATAAAAATTAAATTAAATTTAAAAAATACTAAAAGAATACTGAGCATTAATTTTCTGTCAGGCATGTATTAAATGGTTTAAGCCTCACAACAGTCCTATAAGATAGGTTTCTATTATTAATGTCCATTTTACAGATGAGGAAACTGAGGTAGGAAGATGTCGGTAAGAGATCCTATACTAAAAGAAACTAATGTTTAGTGTTTACTTTCTGCTAGGCACTTTGATAGGTGTTTCCTGAGTCCTATATATTCTACACTGCAACCCTGTGTAGGTAGGATATGATTTTCTCCAAGGCTTATAAGGAAAATTATTACCCAGTTTGCTCAGAATTGGAGAAATAAAGATTTGAACTCAAGACTACCTGACTACAAAACCTGTGCTTGTACCACTAATGAGGGATGATTTCATTGTTTGCCAGCTTTTTAATTTGATTTTGACTCCCTGGAGTTAAGTATACAAAAGAATTTTTAAGCACCCTAGCCAGTTTGGCTCAGTGGATAGAGCATTGGCCTGTGGACTAAAGGGTCCTGGGTTCGATTCCAGTCAAGGGCATATGCTTGGGTTGCACTGGGGATGTGCAGGGGGCAGCCAATCAATGATTCTCTCTCATCATTGATGTTTCTATCTCTCTCTCCCTCTCCCATCCTCTCTGAAATCAATAAAACTATAATTACAAAAAAAAAAAATTTTTTTTAAGCTACATCTGGGTTCAGTAGAATGGGAAGGGATCAGGCAGTAGAAAATTGCCAACCGTACCTTTGCCATCCCTATATGCCCTGAAAACAGAAAGGGAAAGTAGAATATGGTAAGGGCCATCAGAAACCACAACAGGGCTGCCAAGATGAGCGTTTCTGAAGGTTCTCTTGAGAAAGGTGCTATTGTAATGAAAGGAAGGGCACATTGATCCTTGAGAATTTGACACTACGGAGCCTTTGGAGTTATTTGTGGTGCTGTGGAAATTTTGGACCTAGTTCTTGGTTTAAACCAGTTTTCAGTCTATCCAGTTAGCATTGATAACTTAGTTTGTAATTCTAGGGCAAATATTTTTCAGACCAGAATCTAATTTTAGAGTAGATGAGAGAGGGATTTGTGGTCTTTCGACCAAATGTGTGTGTGTGTGTATAATATATATGTATGTGTATATATATACACACACATATTTTTTTTGCTATGCTCTTACTTCCCAAGTTTGGGCAGGTACTTGTTAATAAATTAATGAAGATTTGAAGATATAGGAAGGATAGTTCTGCTTTTTTTAATTGCTTTTATTCTTTCAGGCATTTAACAAGCATACATGAGAGCAAGATGTTTGTCAGTTTTATTCACTGTAGTATTCCCAGAGCCTCAGAGCTGGCACTCAATATATATATGTTGAACACATGAATGCAGTAATGACCTGCTTGTTTGTGCTTTGATCTTGTGTTCAGCAAAGTTGATAATGAATTCTTAAAAAAAAATGTATATATATATACAGATATATATATATATATATATATATATTATATATATATATTTTCTGATTTCAGAGAGAGGTAGGGAGAGGGAGAGAGAGATAGAAACATCAAAGATGAGAGAGAATCATTGATCCGCTGCCTCCTGCATACTTCCCACTGGGGATCGAGCCTGCAACCCAGGCATGTGCCCTGACCAGAACTCTGACCGTGACCTCCTGTTTCATAGGTCAACGCTCAACCGCTGAGCCACAATGGCTGGGTGGCAATGCATTGTTAAAACACTTGCCTGCCTTGCACTGTTACCTCTCTAAATACCTGTGCTGAATACTTCAGCTCTGTTATTGGGTCCTTCAGGAGAGGAACTGTGTCTTGCACTTTTAAAATATCCCTTACAATACCGGAGAGAGTGCCTTGAACAAAGTAGGTATTGTAGGAATGAATGACTACTAGTAGGTAATTAGAGGATCAAAAGTATGGTTTGATCATTTGGATACCCAAGAATCTGATTTTACATGGCAGGTTCAGTATTTGCTTTACCAGATTCTTTTATACATCTCTGATTACTGTGGGGAATTTGTAGTGTTTTGGGGGGGGGAATCTAGAAAGGGACATACTGTACATTGGTCTTCTTCTCACTCCAGATGAATCGGACAAAGGTTGATGAGGAGGAATATTGGAACAGCTCCAAGTTCAAGGCTTTCACCTTTGATGATGAAGATGATGAGCTCTCTCAGGTAGGTTTCCATGAACGGTTGCTGAAGGTCACACCCTTCCCTTCAGTGCCTCTAACATTCCTTCCCTTTGTGTGCTTGGTAACCTGACTTCACCAGGTCTCCATTAGGCTCAGAAATCATTTGGGTCAAATCTTTAGGAAAATGTTCATGGAGAGGAGCCCTCAGAAAAGAAACAGAAGGATTGTTAAAACCAACTCTCTGCCCTTCTTACTTTATAGTCTTAAGATGATTCATTTCTTTCTGTTTGTTTGTTTTAAGAATCCTGTCTTTTATCATGTGATATAATTTATTCTATTTGAAAGATGGACTGGGGTGGAGATTTTGTCCGTTTATTGTGTCTGTTTTATAAATGCAGGAACATATCCTTTTAACACCTGAGAGAGTGGGCAAATTAATTCAGGTTTACACAGCAAGGCATTGCCAGGAATATGATTAGAACTCCGAGCCCTCCCAACTCCTTTGCCACGGGACTGCAGTGTTGGCTAAAACGCAATTTGTTTTCTTGGCAAATATTTAGCAGACTAGATTTTCTGTTACAGAAGGTGAAAGTGTTGGCCATTTTCAAGTTCCAATTCCTCAGCCTTCTTGGTTTTCAAAGAGAAGGGTGGGCATTGCTGATTGCCTAAGTGTCCACCTGATGTTCCTCTGCAGTTAAAGGAATCCAAGCGGGCAGTGAATAGCCTTCGAGACTTCGTGGATGATGACGACGACGATGACCTGGAGAGAGTCAGCTGGACTGGGGAACCTGTGGGAAGTAAGTAGAAAAGGCCCGACGAGGGGAGTGACATTCAGGGTTCTTATCACCAATGAAGGCCCACTTGTCTGTCTCTTCAGTGCTTGTCAGGAAAGGGAATGAGGGTAGCTATTTTCAGATGCACACATCTGGAAATTTAACCCCAGGAGAAGATCCTTGGGGAAATACAACAGTATTTCCCATGTGGGTAGGTCTGCTGTCCTAGGGCTAATACTTAACTGGCTATTTTAGACCCATTTGGATGCTTGTTAAAATGAGGTTCCTGGGGTTCACTCCAGAGACTCTGATTCCGTAGGCGATAGGGATGGGGTGGAGGGGATCTCATTGTATAAAAAGCACTGCAGATACTTCTAATATGAGAACTACTGACTTACATGCTCATAACTATTGGCATAACTGACTTCCTTAGCCACCAAGTCTCGCTGCCTAGTATTTATATAATACCACTTAATACCTTTGCAGAGTCTATCAGATTTTTAAGGATATTTAAAAAAAAATTTCTTAATCGGAAATACTATCACGTGATTTAAAAATAAAAAAGTATTGAAGGTATACAGGCAAAGGTTTCCCTCCTACTTAGTTCTTAGTCCCTGTCCTTCCAAGAAATTACTGACTGCTATTGTTTGCTTCCTATGTATGCATCAAAAGATTCGTTTTACATTTATAAATATGTATAGGAATATACTTACCCCTTTTTTATACAAGTGATAGCATACTTTATACCCTGCACTTTTCACTTAATGCTATAGCTTGGAAATGTTTTCATATCAGTACATAAAGAGCTTTCTCATTCTCTGTTTTTTTAAATAGCAGTATGGTATTACTATATATGGATTTTCTGTAATTTATTTAATCAGCTCACTGATGAACTTTATATTCTTTCCAATCTTATGTTGTTTATTTTGCTATCAATAACCTTGTATTCTCAGAGGTGACTATGAACGATCAAGTTCTAGAGTGAAGTTATTGGCAGAGGGCATTTGCATCTGTATTGGATAGATATTGCCAAATTGCCCTCCATGTGGGTTGCATCAATTTATACTCCCACCAGCAATGCAATGTCAGAGGGTTCCTGTGTCCCCACAGCCTTGCCGACACAGGGTGTTATTAAACCTTGGGATCTTTGCCAGTCTTAGAGGGGACCAGTGGTGTCTCAGTGTACTTTTCATGTATGTAATTATCTTATTAAAAGTGAGGTTGAGCATCTTTTCATGTATTTAATAGCCCTTTGAATATTTTTCTGTGATCCCTTTATTCATTTCCTTTGCCCATTTTTCTGTTGATTAGTCTATTTGATTCTATCTTTTCTCCCTGCCTTGATTTTTGGAGTCCATGTCAGCCAAAGGACCAGGGCCTCTGGTGAAAAGCTTTTAGAGTTTGTTGGAATGCTTGTTATCTAGGATTTATTTGGATGAGAATGACTGACTTAGTTCTTACTATCTTACAGGTATCTCATGGTCCATCAAAGAGACTGCTGGTAACAGTGGGTTAAACCACGAGGGGCGTGAACAGCTAAAGAGCCGGAACAGCTTTTCCTCCTATGCGCAGCTACCCAAACCTACTTCTACCTATTCCCTGAGCAACTTTTTTAGAGGTAAAAAGTGGTGGTTAAAGCCACAAGGAGTCGTCTTTTCCTTTTTCAAAAAAATGCTCAGGCTCTAGCCGGTTTGGCTCAGTGGATAGAGCGTCAGCCTTCAGATCAAAAGGTCCCAGGTTTGATTTCAGTTAAGGGCACACACCTTGGTTGCAGGCTCCTCGCTGGCCTGGGCCCTGGTCAGGGCTCATGCGGGAGGCAACCAATTGCTGTGTTTCTCTCACATTGATCCCTCTTTCTTCTCCTCTCCCTAAAAAAACCAATGGAAAAATATCCCCAGTTGAGGATTAAAAACAACAACAACAACAACAACAAAATACTTGGGTTATACTATTTATTTACTGTGGGAGAAGATTATTGAAGGAGCTGGCAGTTGGGGATCAAGAGTGGGAGAATTGAGAGAAATTCAGAGGGGTTGGTCTGGGTTTCTAGAATGTGAATACAATTGGCATTAACCCCTTGACAGGTACTGAAGAAATTTGCCTAGGTCAAAAGTTCTCCCCACCCCTGTGCATTGCTGTTGGGAACCCGTGTGCACTGCTGGTGGGACTGTAGAACGTGTGAGAGACAGTATGCAGTTCCTAAAAAACTTAAAAAGTTAAACACAGTAACCATATGATTAAGAAATCCACTTCTAGGTATATACCCAAAAGAATTGAAAGCAGGAGCTTCAACAAATATTTATTCATCAATGTTCATAGCAGCAATATTCAGAATAGCCAAAGGTAGAAATAACCCAAATGTCCATTGACTAATGAGTGGATAAGCAAAATGTACATGCAATGGAATATTATTCAGCTAAAAAGGAACAGAATTCTGGTACATACTACCACATGGATGAACCTTGAGAACTTTGTGCTACGTGAAATAAGCCAGACACAAAAAGATAAACAGTGTATGAGTCCACTTAAACACGTATGTGGTATCTAGAATAGTCAGATTCATAGAAACAGAGGGTAGGATATGTAGTGGTTACCAGGGCTGGGGGTGAGGGAAACAGGGAGTTATTGTTTAATGGGTACAGAGCCTCAATTTGGGATGATGAAAAAGTTCTGGAGGTGGATAATGGCAGTGGTTGTACTTTTGGTGTACTCAATGCCACTGGACTGTAGGCTCAAAAATAGTTAAAATGGTAAATTTTATGTTATGTATATTTTATTGCAATTAAAAAATTTTTTCCTCCTTGCCTTTTGTCCCCATGGAAAAAAGATAATTTCTGAAATTGAATAAAGTTTTTTTTAAGTTCCCATAATGCATAATAAGGTTTTATACACACTACATCCTTAACCAAGCCAGAATGGGTCTGGCTTAACTGCTCACCTCCTCCCTCATGTGTTCTTTATCTTTAGGGAGAACTAGACTTGGAAGTTTCCAGTCCCTTTCTGATGGTAGGCATTGACCCTCTTTTCTTGATTACTTTGGGAGACGTTACTGATCTGGGTATAGTCTGGGGAGTCATGGAGAAAAGTGGTAATTAGACGATTTGATAAAATTTATTCTGAATCTCTCATCATTATTAGAGAAATTTTCTCATACTGAGTAAGAGGTAGATTCTGATTACAGGGGAATGGGTGACTCCTAGGGATACTGGCTTTGGAGAGGTACCGAAAATTACTTTGGGCCCTAAAACATACCTTGGGAGCCTACAAGTCAAGAAGGAGGCATTGAGGAAAGGAATGACAAGAAGGTGGTGTCCTTCTAAAACAGCTGCCTGTTCTCTTTCAGCTCTTTCGGACACACCTGCCAAAAGCTATGCTCCAGAGCTGGGGAGACCCAAGGGGGAGTTTAGGGTGAGTAATACCTTACACTGGGTTGACACTACACGGTCTAAAGTGCTTTGACATTATCTTGCTTGATCTTCCCAACTTTTTGAGCACCTGTTAATGTAATCCCGTTTTATAGATAAGAACACTGATTTCTAAACATTAGGGCCTGCCTGGGGTCTAACAGCTATGAAATGGTGGAACTTGGACTCAAAAGTATCTATTTTCTGATTCAGTCCTAGCACACTTTCCTTCCCCATTGTGCTGCTCTTTGAAGGCTGTACTTTGAAACTTTTGATCATCAATGTGAACTGGAAACTTGGTGAAGCTTGTACTCCCATGAAGCACATAAAAAAGCAAATTGATTCATAAGGAAGAAACTATATCCTAAAGTCTGGAAAAGGAACATGTCTCCCTCTTTCCTTATGCTGGCATAGCTATTATTTAGAGTCTCAAAATGGGATTGATTGCATCGAGGGGTTGAAATCCTAAACCAGTAGGCACAGCATTACTGATTTTGTCAATTGGTTCATTCTGTCTTTGATTCATCTCTTCCCGTCTGTATTGTTCCTGTTCTAGTTCCTTCAGAAATTCAGAACAAGACTATCTCAGTTCATTAATTTTTCTCCATTCCCTCCCACAAAATATGTCCCCTTTAGGGACTAAGACACTGAGTTTGAGGTGGGGAGCTGGCACACTGATAATTCTGATCCCTTAACTTCTTGGGATTCATGTGTTGCTAATATTCCAGGACTACAGCAATGACTGGAGCCCCAGCGACACGGTGCGACGCCTTCGGAAGGGCAAGGTAAGACCACTGGGGAATGAAGTCTTGTGGGATTTTTTGGGAAGCTGGCGCTGTTCCCATAGGGAGGATTTCTTGACCCCTCTCTTCAATTCGAATTGTTAAATGAAGTGGTTTTCAGGAAGAAAATAAATTCACTAAGATGAAAAGTCAGCTGCAAAATTTGAGATTCTCTAGAGTTTAGTGTTACTTTGATAGGGTAATGGGGAAAGAGTGATGGACGAGAGGGAAAAGTGCTTTTAAGAATGAGGGTGGCCATCCAGTGTGGCTCAGTTGGTTGGGCATTGTCCTGTACACCAAAAGGTTGCCAGTTCAGCCCGGCCAGCATGGCTCAGTGGTTGAGCATCGGAGATCACGATTCAATTCCCCATCAGGGCTGGATCCAATTGTGCAGGAGGCAGCCAATCGATGTTCTGCTCTCATATTGATGTTTCTCTTTCTCTCTCCCTCTCCCTTCCTCTCTAAAAATTATATATATAAAAGAATGAGCGCAATCTTTTATGTTTATATATATAAATAAATAAAAGAATGAGCGCGATCTTTTATGTTTAGGTCTGAGATCCATTAGTTAACTTTTTTGTTGTTGTTGTTAATCCTCACCCAAGAATATTTTTTTCCATTGATTTTTAGAGAGAGTAAAAGACTGGGGGTGGGGGAGAGAAACATCAACGTGAGAGAGACACATATGAGCCCTGACTGGGGCTGGGATTGAACCTGAAACCCAGGTAGGTGCCCTTGACCAGGAATTGAACCTGTGACCCTTCGGTCTCTCTCTCTCCCTCTTTTTCTCTCTCTCACAGTCTCTCTCCATTCTCTCTAAAAATCAATGGAAAAAATATACGTGGGTGAGGATTAACAAAAAAACAAACTAAAACATGAAAATATCATTATATTGGTAGAAAATATTTGCAAAATAGACATAAAGGATTTCATACAGAATATATAAGAAAGAGTTATTTTCAGTAATAAGAAAATAAACAATCCAATAAAAATTGGCATAAGATTTGACCAGTTATATCACAGAAAACATATATGAATGGCCAATGAGCACTTGAAAAGGTGTTCAACATAGTTATCAAGAAAATGTGAATTAAAACTGTATGATACCACTATGCAGGTACTAGAATGAATGGCTAAACTTTAAAATACTGATCATATCAAATATTAGGAGGATGTGGAACTCTTGTACACTGTTAGCCAGAAGGAAAAATAGTAAAACTGCTTTGGGAAATAGTCTGGCAGTTTCTTACAACGTTAATCATACACTTAATTTCATTTGTGAACATTTACAATGCATGTTTTGTATGGACAAAAACATGTCCATACAAAGACTTATACACAAATGTTCATACAGCTTTCTTCATAATAGCCCCCAAAATGAAAATCCAAATATCCATCCAGAGCTAAATAGGTAAATAAATGGTGGTATATATAATAGACTGGGGATGGGATGGGAAGGTATGGACATTAAAGTAGACAAGGAGACTTATTGGGGTGATGGAAATATTCTGTATCTTGATTGTGTTAGTAGTTACATGGAATTCTATTCTTGTCAAAACTCACCGAACTGTACATTTAAATAGGGTAGATTTTATTGTATGTAACTTATACCTCATTATAAAAAGAGGAAGTGCCCTAGCTGGTTTGGCTCAGCAGATAGCGCGTCGGCCTGCCTTCTCAAGGGTCCCAGGTTCGATTCCGGTCAAGGGCATGTACCTGGGTTGTGGGCACATCCCCAGTAGGGGGCGTGCAAGAGGCAGCTGAATCGATGTTTCTTTCTCATCGATGTTTCTAACTCGCTATCCCTCTCCCTCTCCCTTCCTCTCTGTAAAAAAATCAATAAAATATATTTAAAAAAAAAAAAAAGAGGAAGTGATCTCTACCTGTTGACTTTGGTAAGACTTCATCAGGAAATGACATACAGAGCATAAGGCTGACTAGAGAGGGTGTGGTGGGAAACTACTGTCTATATTGTTCTGGGCACCACAGTGTAAAAATAAAGTGGCTTTCTTTGGAGACATTTCCTTTTATTCTTGCCTGTACTTCCGTGTCCAGTGACAGAGGAATGTAGTGAACAGTCTTCTCCCAGCACACTAATTCTCTTCTTATTCCACCAGGTCTGCTCACTAGAAAGATTCCGCTCCTTACAGGACAAGCTACAACTCTTAGAGGAAGCAGTTAGCATGCATGATGGAAACGTCATTACTGCTGTGAGTTGTGGGGGTTTTTTGTTATTTAATTGGTTTTTGTTAGTTTCTGAAAATCCAGTCAGAATAGACTTTAACATTTTAGGTTAAATGTCAAGTAAAGATCCTGGATTTCCTTTTGATGTGTAGGATTCTCAGTAACACGTATTTTATTTATTTATTTATTTATTTATTTTTAAAAAAATATATATTTTATTGATTTTTCACGGAGAGGAAGGGAGAGGGATAGAGAGTCAGAAACATCGACGAGAGAGAAACATCGACCAGCTGCCTCCTGCACACCTCCCACTGGGGATGTGCCCGTAACCAAGGTACATGCCCTTGACCGGAATCGAACCTGGGACCCTTCAGTCCGCAGGCCGACGCTCTATCCACTGAGCCAAACCGGCCTGGCAGTAACACGTATTTTAAAGCCTAGCTGGTAGGACATGTGTTGTGTGTGGAACTCTTGATTATAATCAAGAAGCAGTAGGTTGGCTACTATACTCTGAGGGAGGAGAGATGTGAGAGCAGGGAGGCATCTCTTGCCAGTACAGGCACGGGCATGTGGGCTCCCAAGACACAGCGCAGTTCCAGATGTCCACCACCTGTCCTTCCATCACATCAAGAAATGTGTTGTCTGGGCCTGCAAAGGTGCCTACTGAGTTGCTGATCTCATTCCTAGACATTGGTGATTTCAGAGAGGATGGGAGAGGGAGAGAAAGACAGAAACATCAATGGTGAGAGAGAATCATCGATCGGCTGCCTCCTGCACACTCCCCACTGGGGACGGAGCCCACAACCCGGGCATGTGCCCTTGACTGGAATTGAACTGGGGACCCTTCAGTCCGCAGGCCAGCACTCCAACCACTGAGCCAAACCAGCGAGGGCTCTTTGTTCTCTTTTCCTCCAGGTTCTGATATTCCTGAAGAGGACACTGAGCAAAGGTGAGCATGGTTTGAGGGAAATCTTCATTCAGCACGATGTCTGCTACACTTGAGGGGAGATAGGCATGTGGCTTTATACCAGAATTTACCAGCATCAAGTCTGCGGCAGAGACAGCTGGACTGGCCTGAGACCTCAGAGTTCAGCTCACGTCTCTGAGGGCAGTCGTCATCCGTTAGTGGCAACTACATTAACTGCAACACCCCTCTATGTACTGGGCACACAGACAGCTGTGTTGGTTTGAGAAAGTCAGAGTTGATGTTGAGTACCTTATGTTTGGATGGGTGAGAACTGAAAGCTGACTCAGTGGCATAGAGCTGCCCTAAACCATGGAGTGTGTTGATGGTGGATTGAGCCTTAGGGATGGGTACCGTAAAAAAAATTCCTGATTGGCTTTGAGGAATTAATTTTGTAATGTGTGAGTAGGGAGACCAATTTTACATTTGAGTAATAACTTTAATCTTTCTCCACCTAACTTCTTCCTGCCTTTCAGAGGTCCTCTTCCGAGAGCTGGAGGTGCGACAGGTTGCCCTGAGACATCTCATTCACTTCCTTAAGGAAATAGGGGATCAAAAGCTGCTTTTAGATCTCTTCAGGTAAGAACTGATCATCTGGTCCAGTAAATAAATTATTTTTTTCAAAGAACTCTGGGGAACACAAAGAAGACACTGTCTGTTTGTTCTGGAAATGCTTGTTAGACAAGATATTGAAATGTGATGGGATAACTAGCACCACAGGCTGTGATAAGGTGACTATGTACCAGGTGGTTCAGAACCAGGTTCTGGAGTCAGACATACCTGCATCGACTGGCTCCACCATTAATTCGTAGCATGACCTTGAGCAAGTTACCCAGTCTCTCCAAGTATCAGTTTTCACATCTGTAAAATGGAGATGGTGATACCTACCCCACAGGATCATTATAAAGATGAAGAGTTAGTGTTATGTAAATTACTTCCATAATGCCTAGTCTGTAGTATTAATATTTAGTAAGCATTTTTAAAATGGAAGATCTATAGTGAAGGTGTCTTCTTTTTTAAATTCTCATTCAAGGAGTGAGGATATTTTTTCCATTGATTCTAGAGCAGCGGTTCTCAACCTGTGGGTCGCGACCCTTTCGCGGTCGAACGACCCTTTCACATGGGTCGCCTAAGACCATCCTGCATATCAGATATTTACGTTACGATTCATAACAGTAGCAACATTACAGTTATGAAGTAGCAACGAAAATAATTTTATGGTTGGGTCACAACATGAGGAACTGTATTTAAAGGGCCAGAAGGTTGAGAACCACTGTTCTAGAGAGAGTGGAAGGGAGCAAGAAAGGAGAAAGATTGGGGGGAGAAAGAGAGAGAAACATCAGTGTGACAGAGACACATTGATTGTTTGCTTCCCACACCCGTCCCAAATGGGGGCGGGGATCGGACCTGCTACCCAGGGACGTGCCCTTGATTGGTGTACAGGCCAATGCTGTAACCACTGAGCAATACCGGCCAGGCCTGAAGGTATCTTTTATTACTGGTCCCAGGGCTGAAGGTATCTTAAATTACAGTGTTGGTAGTGAGAAGTACAGTGGAAGAGCAGAAGAAGCAAATGTAACTTTTAGTCAGGATACCGGAGGATAGCCTTATGGAAGAGGTTAGGAACTGAGTTGGGCTAATGAGACTAGGCAGGATTCTGATTGGTGGAGAGGTAAGAGGTAGGCATATCTGCTGGGGCTGGAGAGTGGGTTGGGAAGGGGGTGTCTTCTATTTTCCTTTCTTATCTCGTTCCAATCAGTAGGTTATTTCTTACCTTTAGGTTAAAATGTGTGTATGTTATGTTCTTTCTTCAGTGTCAGAGAAGGGGTTGGAACCTCTCTTGAGCCTGACATGTGGCCTAGGGTAACTCCAGTTACCAGTGACTCCAGCACAGTGATGAGCTCCCCAAAGACTAAGGTGGGGAAAGCAGGTCACCTGGTTAGAGTCAAGATTACAGATGGTTAGCCATGAGTTTTCAGAAGGCACATTGATCAAGGCAAGGTGTTCTCTCCCTCCTTCCCTCCTTCCCAGTCAACAGGCTTCAGTAAGCCTCACCTCTATGTCAAAGCATGATGTTGAGTATAGTGGACCGTTCAGAGTGAGAAGGGATCAGAATATCAAAGTCCTTGTTCGCCAAGGCCTTACGGCCTTTTGGGAAAGGCAAAGCACACTTCACTCTGCACATGAAAACGAGCACAATGTAGAAAACCTGTTCGGGAGTCGGCAGAGAAGGAGAGTGCTTGCCTCTTCCTCAAAGGGTCCATGGCATTACTGTGGGCTAAGGAGGCTCTGACCTTCCCATGAGCCCAGTTAACCCTACAGTTATTAATGCCCTGCGGTGCCTTCTTGTCCCTGCTTTTTGCTCAGCTAGAAAGATCAGGGGAACACTGATACCTCGTCCACCATGTGTTTTCAAAGGGTTGCTGTGGTAGAAAGTTTAAGAAGACAAGGGTTTATCTTACATATGGAGGCAAATGAGTTTGAATTGTGTTCTCTTAGAGCAGTTGTCTTATTTTGTGAAGTTATGCTGCCACATGTCAATAGATAAAAATGCTGTGTTCCTTCTGCTTCTTCCCAGGTTCCTAGATAGGACAGAAGAGTTTGCGGTAAGTGTGGCCTTTGTTTCAGTTGGGGACTCATTTAACTGAAATCTAAGCCAAAACCCAGTCGCCAGGATCCCAGAATGATTGAACATACTTATTTTCCATTTGTATTGATTATATTCAGAAGAGAGAGACATCTAGGAATCCTGAAAACTTAGTCCAAATGATGTACTACTTTATTGTTTTTTCTAAGTTCTTTTAATTGGGCTGTAAATTTAAAAAAATGAATGAAAATTGGCTCATCAATTTGTAATTTTGTGTGTTTCTTCCTAGTTGTTTTCAATTCCTGGTTTGTAGGAGCTTTTGGATTTTGGCTTCTAATACTAAAGAAGATGCTGGTCCTTGGCTGGATAGCTCCATTGATGAGAGCATTATCCTGATATGCCAAGGTTGAGGGTTTGATCCCCGATCAGGGCACATACAAGAATCAACCGATGAATGCATAAATGCATTGATGTTTCTCTCCCTTTCACTCTCTCTCTAAAATGAATAAAAAGAAAAGGAAAGAAAAGACACTATTGAAAGCTAAGAGGGATAAGAAACCAGATATATGTCAAGAAGGAAGATAGGTCAAGCTAGTGGCACACCCAGCACACACTGGCTAGAGCTCAGTGACTGAATGTTAAAATAGATTTCTGTCAGATTTTCACCATTATAGAGTGAACTTCTGGAATATGAGAATAAATCTGAAATTTAACCAAAAGTTTAATTATATTACTAAAACTTTAGTGATCCATTTTTAAATATATTTTTATTGATTTCAGAGAGAAAAGGAGAGGGAAAGAGAGATAGAGACATCAATGATGAGAGAGAATAAATGAACAGCTGCCTCCTGCACGCCCCCTACTGGGGATCAAGCCCACAACCTGGGCATGTGCCCTTAACTGGATTCGAACTTAGGACTCTTCAGTCCGCAGTCTGACGCTCTATCCACTGAGCCAAATGGCTAGGGCCATTTTTTGAAGTTTGTTATAGTGCGGGGCTCAACTCCCCAGTGCTGTCAGTGGCAGGATTGTTCCTTGAGTCACTGTACAGCACATGTGTGGTGAGAGCAGTGCTCATGTTTGGCTGGCACATTTAATAATGTTGTTAAACTTGCTTACACAACAGAGTATAACTCAGGAAAATCTTTTTTAGTAATATTTTGTAAAAGGAACATGTACTTAATATTTAAGTCAGCGTAAAGTCTCAAAAAATGCTTTATCTTATTCTGCTGAAAATGATTGGCAATTTGTAGTAATCATTTTGAAAAGTCTTTGTTTCTATTTTTAATCTCCATAGATTTGAAACTAAGGAATTTTTTCCATACGGCATTCTTATAAAGTTTGTTGTTTTGAAGTTTGATTAGTGAAAATAAATGTGGTTTGGGTAACTCAGTTTTATTTAAAACTTTATTTTTTTTTGCATGTAGTTTATTATGTTTGAATTGAAGATGTTTTATTATAGATCAGCATGCCCAGTAGAACTTCCTGCAATGATGGGAATATTCTATATCTGTGCTGTTCGATGTGGGAGCCACAGATCACTTGTAGCTGTTGAGCACTTCAAAAATGACTAGTGCAACTAAGGACCTGAATCTATTTCTTTTTAATTAGTTTAAATTTACATATAAACAAACACATGTGTCTACTGGCTACCATATTACATATTGCAATTATAGATAAACCAAAGAGTGACTTTTTTTGTAAAGATTTTTTAAATTGATTTTTAGAAAGAGGGAGAGGGAGAGGGAGGGGGGGAAGGAGAGAGAGAGAGAGAGAGAGAGAGAGAGAGAGAGAGAGAGAGAAAGAGAAAGAGAGAGAAAGAAACATGGTTGTGAGAGCAAGAAATGGATCGGTTGCCTCCTGCATGCCCCCTATCTAGGATGTAGCCTGGACATGTGCCCTGACTGGGAATTGAACTGGCAACCTTTTGGAGCACAGGACAATGCCCAACCAACTGAGCCACATTGGCCAGGGCCCAAAGAGTAATTTCAAATCACTCTTTGCTCTCTCCATCCCCACATCCAATCCATACCAAGAAGGAATCTCTGATAATGAAGAATTTAACTTTAAAAATGTGTGTGTGTGTGTGTGTGTGTGTGTGTGTGTGTGTATTATATATTGTTGATTTCAGAGAGGAAGGGAGAGGGAGAGAAAGAGATAGAAGCATCAGTGATGAGAGAGAAGCATTGATCGGCTGCCTCCTGCACATCCCCTATTGGGGATCGAGTCTGCAACCCAGACATATGCTCTGACCTGGAATCGAACCATGACCTCCTGGTTCATAGGTTGACACAACCACTGAGCAACACTGGCTTGGCAAGAATTTAGTTTTTAGGCATGGAAAGTCTGCTTAAGGAGTTACCTCCCCCTTCTAAGGAGATAAACTAGCTCACAGCCTTTCTATGTTTTTTTCTTAAGCTGTCCCATTATCGAGAGCATTTGAGCATTCAGGACCCTGAGAAACGGAAAGAATTTCTTAAGACCTGCATTGGGTAAGTATGAAGAAGAAATGTTTTTAAGTATAAATACTCATATGCAAAGGAATTAAGTGACTGAAAGAGAGTGGAATGGATAGATAGTTGAAGCGAAAGGCTAACACAATGGATCATACAAGCATCATTAAAAATTGTCTTACTCAGTGGTTTGAAATACTAGTCCCCAATAGGATTTTCATTGATTGGTGATAAATTAAGGAAAATAAAGACAATATAGAGTTTTGTTTTTTTCTTTTGAAAGTTAATTTATTTAATTGAAAGACTGCCTTTTATTTTGGGATTTTTCCCCTCCTCTATCAACCCCCCCCCCCCCCCACACACACACACATACAAATTTAAAAAAATGGTCCTTGACTGGATATACACTTTTTGATAATAAAATTGGTTGTAATTATTTATGACAGTGGTTCTCAACCTTCTGGCCCTTTAAATACAGTTCCTCATGTTGTGACCCAACCATAAAATTATTTTCGTTGCTACTTCATAACTGTAATGTTGCTACTGTTATGAATCGTAATGTAAATATCTGATATGCAGGATGGTCTTAGGCGACCCCTGTGAAAGGGTCGTTCGACCGCCAAAGGGGTCGCGACCCACAGGTTGAGAACCGCTGATTTATGACCATATGTATCACAGTAACAGTGGGAAACACTTTACCTTTATCAGTGGTTCTCAACCTTCCTAATGCTGCAACCCTTTAATACAGTTCCTCATGTTGTGGTGACCCCCAACCATAAAATTATTTTCGTTGCTACTTCATAACTGTAATTTTGCTACTGTTATGAATCGTAATGTAAATATCTGATATGCAGGATGTATTTTCATTGTTACATATTGAACATAATTAAAGCATAGTGATTAATCACAAAAACAACATGTAGTTATATATGTGTTTTCCGATGGTCTTAGGCGACCCCTGTGAAAGGGTCGTTCGACCCCCAAAGGGGTCGCGACTTACAGGTTGAGAACCACTGCCTTATATATTATTTTCAATGTTACTGGTCCTTGAAACCCCAAAGTTCAAGAACCACTGATTCAGTACAGGCTCTGACCCAGAATATCAGTCCCTGTGAAAACCAGCCCCACACATCACTCTTCCAATGATTGGGCACTCGCTGCTCTTGGAAGTAGCTCATTTCATTGTTGGACAACCTTCATGATTGGAAAGTGCTTCCTTATATTAAGCCAAATCTTGCTTCCCTGAATCTAAGGCAAGTGTAGAGTCTGCCCAGTGAACCTTGCTTCTCCGGGCCCAGTGTTCACAGTGGTTCCAGTCATTCCTCATGTGACGTGATTTTCAGGTTTCACATTCAGAAATTCATTTACGTCAATGCCATCTTCACTTTTAACCTTATCAAATCAAATACTGAGTTATGTCCTATGGTCTCTTGTAAACAAAGAGAAAAGTTAGAGTAGTGAAGTGACTGGAACCTATTTTCATTTCCTCTTACCTCTTTTAAAAATTGGCTGTGGCTCACACTTAATGTGGGACAGTATAATTGAATTTCAGAATTCTTCCTGGAATGCGTGGAGTAGGAGAATAAGGCCACAGTCTCTGAAGGGTAGATCTGTGAACTGGGAGTTTAAAATCTGGCTTCTGTTCCTGGCCTTACCCAGTGACTTGCCATGTGCCTTTTAGGTAAGACACTGTTTGTCCCTCAGCTTCTTCATGTGTAAAAATATAATGTAGTATTGAAGATGGCACCTTTGACATTTGTGTAAATCTTTGACATCTATACCAGTCTACAAAAATACTACCATGCCATGTAATTTAATTTTACCTTATTACCCTACAGTAAAACAGTAGCTCACAAATGTAAGTGACCCTGAAGGAGAGTTAAGTGTTGACATTAAGCAGTAACATGAACCGAAGTGCTTCACTGCAATGCAGATGAGCAGTTGGCTGGGCTCACTCCTTAGCCAAGTGACTCACCAATCATTACACCTCCCACAGCGAGAGGATTCTAGTTCATTCCTCAACAAAGTCACTAATGGCTACATATATTTTGTCAATTTTCAGGATCCCTCTTTAGTTGGCAAAAACCTTAAATGCAAAATCCCAGCCAAAGGTCTGCTCTATTTTCTGCTTTCTGCCTTTTAGGGATGCTCCAGAGGTGAATTGAGATCAGATTTATGAAGCACCATGAACCTCTTATGTTATAGTAGTGATTTGGTTTAGTTGGGTTTGTTTTCTGTTTGAGTAGAGAAAAAGGTACTAACCTTCTGGCTCTTTATCAGTTTGCCATTTTCAGTGGAAGATTCTGCACACATACAAGACCATTACACGCTCCTGGAACGTCAGATCATTATTGAGGTTAGACTCCTCGTATCTGTGTTTTCTGCTTCAGTGCCATCAGCCTCTGGGACCCATCTGTGCTCTGCCCACATATGTCATTTCCTGTTACAGTCTCTAAGAGCCTTTCGTTTTCTCCCTCTCCACCATAGCCCCTTCCCTCCACTGTTCTCAGCATCCTTATCCTTCTCACCTGCAGTTAAACTGGAAGTTTTTTCTCTTCATCCCAGAATTCCCATTGCATTGCCACTTCTCTGTCTGCCTCCATCCAACTTGGATCTATCATCATTTTAGGGCTTTTAGACTCCCGTGGGTCATCCTAGCCGTTTCTTTTTCTCTTCCTTGCCTCTTTCCTAGGGTAGGAAATGCAGCTACTGTAGCATTAAGTTTCTCTCTGCTTCTACTGCATGGACATAGTTCTTTTTTTCACTTGGCTCGCTCCACTACAGGCAAATGACCGCCATCTAGAAGCAGCAGGACAGACTGAGATCTTCCGGAAGCACCCCCGCAAAGCTTCCATCCTCAATATGCCACTAGTGACGACACTCTTCTATTCCTGCTTCTACCACTACACGGAGCCCGAGGTACAGGCAACACGGGAAAGACCCCACACACTCCCACTGCACAGAGGAACGTAGCTCGAAGTCAGTATTTTGATGTACCCTGTTATCAAAGGGTGCCTGTAGTTCTTGGAAATCCACCTGGAGGCTTTCCTGACCCTCAGGGGTGAGCCAGGAGGGAAGAGGGGTTTGTAAGGCTTGTGTGGTGCCCAGTGAACTGGCCCATAGCATAGCACGTTCTGTCTCAGCAGTGCTGGTCCCACAGCGGGCTCTGTTCAAAGGCCCATAAATGCACATGGATTGACACAGAAGAGCAGCAGGGTGTCAGGTAACTGGATGTTTGAACACATTTTATAAAATTTAATGATCACAAATGGACTTTGGATTAGCATAAAATTGGGAAAAATACCGTACTTATTAACCCAGTCTTGTTAAGCTGGGTTGCAATGATACCTGATTAGACCCGATGGAGCTTTGCTCTCAAAATAATTTCTGGGTTTAATTGGTTACAGAGTAAAATGTAGAAAGTCTAGTCAGTACAAAAGAAGATGGGGGATTGGGTGGTATTTTGGGAAAGTCGGTAACAATACAGTTTCTTCTCCACTTTCACCCTAGGGGACATTCAGCAGTCCAGTCAACCTGAAGAAGACATTTAAGGTAGATATAAAATGGTCGGTGCTTTGGTAAAAGTAGTATCAGGGTACCTATGTGGAGTGGATGTTGCTTTGTAACCCTGCACAGTAAGTGTCTTATATTCACGGTTAAAGGTAGAAAGGGAAGTGTTTGTGGGGAGTGAGGTAAGGTTTTAATTGAACGGCCTACCTCAGTGCTGGGGCTTGGAAACCACGGGGTTCTTGGTGACCTGAGAGACTTACAGGTTTTTAAGAGGCAGAATCAACACTATGGTATATTTTTGCCTATCTTTTCCAGAATTCTCAAGTACCTCCTCTGGCACCTTCCTACTTCCCCTTAAATTCCTCTGGTCTCTGCTTTCTAGATCCCAGATAAACAATATGTGCTGACTGCCTTAGCCGCCCGCGCCAAGCTCCGTGCCTGGCATGATGTAGATGCTCTCTTTACCACAAAGGTGAGTGCCTGGATCTCTCTGTGCTGCTGATGCCTCAGGCACATCCTCTTGTTATCCTAGACCAGTGATGGCGAACCTATGACACGCGTGTCAGAGGTGACACGTGAACTCATTTTTTTGGTTGATTTTTCTTTGTTAAATGGCATTTAAATATATAAAATAAGTATCAAAAATATAAATCTTTGTTTTACTATGGTTGCAAATATCAACAAATTTCTATATGTGACACGGTACCAGAGTTAAGTTAGGGTTTTTCAAAATGCTGACACGGCGAGCTCAAAAGGTTCGCCATCACTATCCTAGACTCATGGGAGTCTTCTGTTCCAGTAACTGGCTTACATCTTTCCTCCAGCTTTTTATTTTCCAAAATTTCACGCCTAAAGTTGAAAGAATATTATAGTGAATACTAATAATCTTTTCCTACTTCACTCATTTATTAACATTCTCGCTATATATGCTTTCTCTTTTTCTATGCACGTAGAAAAAGAGACAGCAAATAAGCTTTTTTTTCTTTCGCTGAACCATTTGAAGGTAAGTTTTAGACATCATGCTACTTCTCTCTTAAAAATTTTTCTCCTTTGTAACTCCTCTCAAGAAATGTAACATTAATCTAATACTATAATCATATATATAGTCTGTAATAAATTAGCTCCTTAGAGCGGTTTCTGTTTGTTCTTGTGTTGGTTCGCTGTCAAGGATCTTGCATTATATTTGGTTGTCATGTCTACTGGTTGACATTTTAAATACTGATTTGTTTTCATTATGGGTTTGAGAATTTTCTGTTTTCCCCCCTTTGTTAGTTATTTAATTAGCTACATTAACTACCAAAGCAATACGTGTCTGTGTCCAAATCAAACACTGTATGGAAGTATAAAGAGTAAAGAGTGACGCTTCTCTTCCACTGACTTCCTGCTCCTAGTCTCACCCACTTCCTCAAGGCAGATGCCATTAAAAGTTTGATGAGTGCTTTCCAGATCTTTCCTCACGAATTTATAAAGAAACCTCTTTGCCCTAGACGGTTAAGCTCAGTGGATAGAGCGTCGGCCTGCGAACCAAAGGGTCCCGGGTTTGATTCCAGTCAAGGGCACGTACCTTGGTTGCAAGCTCCTCCCCAGCCCGGGCCCTGGTGAGGGCTCATGCAGGAGGCAACCAGTTGATGTGTTTCTTTCACATTGAAGTTTCTCTCTCTGTCTTTCCCTCTCTCTTCCACTCTCCCTAAAAATCAATGGAAAAAAAAATACAAAGAAACATCTTTATATAAATATAAGTTTGACTCAGTGGATAGAGCGTCAGCCTGCAGACTGAGGAGTCCCAGGTTCGATTCCCATCAAGGGCACATGCCCAGGTTGCAGGCTTAATCCCCAGTAGGGGTGCAGGAGGCAGCCAATCAATGATTCTCTCTCATTGATGTTTCTATGTCTGTCTCCCTCTCCAATCAATAAAAATATATATTTTTTTAAAAAGTAGAGATGTAAAGAGCAGGACTTTTCTCCTAGATAAGTTCATACTACAAGTGTGGTTATGTAAATTACTTATTTCATTTAGCTGTATTTCACACTTTTCTGCATTAGTGCCTATAAATCTAAGAACTTATACTTCTGACTCTCTCCCACCGTCTCAAGTTTCTTGACTTTTCTAAAAAACTCATCTCTCATTTCCCTGTTCCCCACCCCAGTCCATCCACTCTCACCATCACATTATTCTAGGCTGACTGTAAAATGCAGGGAGACAAGCTCAGGGTGTACTGTTCGTGTCTGGCCTACCTACTACTGCCATCTTCTTTCTCAGAACTGGCTGGGCTACACCAAGAAGAGAGCACCTATTGGCTTCCATCGGGTTGTGGAAATTCTGCACAAGAACAGTGCCCCCGTCCAGGTAATGGCTCCTGAAGAGAGTTGGGGACAGGATCCTCTAGGAGACCTACCTTGTAGCCTCTTACTGGTCAGTGATAGGAGACCTGACCTGTTCTGTTCTCCCCTTAAGGGCAACATGATGGCTGTATTGGTCTTGATGTAGGACAGGCCAGGGAGAGACGTTCTCCTCTGCCCTTTAGAAGTAACCTGCCCTCTCTGAGGAGCACCCACTGTTTAGCCCGTGTGGAGTACTGCCATATTGGTGAAATGATACAAAGGAGAACTCACTGAGTAGGGACATCAGGGCACAGTGCAGATCAGGTGTGGAGCATGCCCGTTGCTGGCCTGGGGATCCAGCTCTAGGTTATGGAAGAGCGTGCTCTTCCCTGCTTTCCTGGGGAGTGCGGAATGCTGCTTGGGGTCCACCTCATTTCCCATCACAGAACTGGTCCTGTGGTTGCAGATGTTGTAGATGAACTCGTCTACCTTCTTCCGGATTTTTTTTCCTACTTTTCAGAGTTCTGGGAATCATTAATCAGAAGTACCTCTTTCCACAGATATTACAGGAGTATGTCAATCTAGTGGAAGATGTGGACACAAAGTTGAACTTAGCTACCAAGTTCAAGTGCCACGATGTCGTCATTGATGTGAGTCCCCAGGAAATCAGAACCCTGAGTTAGAGCCTCAGTGGAGAGTGGGGGGTTATGGTATTCTCTGTCCTGGACCCTGAGATCCTGCCATCAGTTTCGACGTAATGGGCAAAATGGTCTGGCAGGAGTTAGTTTGGAGGCCAGCACTTCTATGCTATCTTCCCAGCCTTCTGACTGGTTTCTCTGTGCTCTTAAAAGTCTGTTGCACTCAGAGAACTCAGAGAACTGAATCAAGTCACATAAGCTCTGTAGACTTCAGTCCAGCATGAGGTTCTGAGGGGACTTGGCCCCTGTCACCCAGCCTCTTCTTGAACCTTGGCTCGAAGTGGGAGTAACAAAAAGCAAAAGACCTTCCTAGAGAAGGCTGATCTGGGGCTCACTGCTTGTTGGTTTTGGTGTGCAGACTTGCCGGGACCTGAAGGACCGTCAGCAGTTGCTAGCGTACAGGAGTAAGGTGGACAAAGGATCTGCAGAGGAGGAGAAGATCGATGCCATTCTCAGCAGCACGGTGAGCAGGGCAGCTACCCCGCCACAGCCTTGGGAGACAGACAGTTCTCAAAGTAGCATCAAGTGTATAAAAGGGTAACCTGGGGACCTCCGTTTGAGACTTAACTGTAACCGCTCTGAAAATTGTTAAACCTAGCAGGTAGGAGAGACTTACTACTGGCAATATAGGAACAAATGTTAGATTCAGAACATCCCGGGAATGGATATTACCTACCTGTTGGAAGTAAGAAGAGGGTGAAATCGATTTTAGCAATTTGGGAAATACAGCCTGCTTGTCTCTCATAGCATGAAATTGCTGAGCTTTTTGTTAATGTTGATCTTAGTTCCCTGTTAGATGTTTTGGGACCTACCTGGAGTCATTGAAAGCTAGTGAATCTTTTTTTTTTTAAATGATTGTTCAACTATTTATTTTTAATCCTCACCCAAGGATGTGTTTTTATTGATTTTAGAGAGAGGAAGTTAGGGGGGGGAGAGAGAGAGAAAGAGGAACATCAAAGTGAGAGAGAAATATCAATAAGTTGCCTCCCGTACATGCCCTGACTGGGGATCAAACCCACGACCTGGGTATGTGCCCTGACTGGGAATCGAGCCATACCAGCCAGCGCAGAAGCTAGTTTAATCTTGGCCCTGAGAAGGTTAGGATCAGAGTAAATCCCCAACTCAGGCTTGTGAGAATCAGAATAAGTGTCTAGTTCGTATCTGAATAAATGAACTCTGCTACATATTTTTAAAAAATTCCCCCCCCTCCCCATTCCTCTTTTCCTTACAGTACCTACCTGTGAGTCTTGTTTTATTGCATTCCCACTACCTCTCTGTAGGGATCAGTGCAAAATGATCATTGTTTTTTCCCACAGCAAATTCGGTGGAAGAATTAAGTGGCATCAGCTACCCTGAGACCTGCCTCGTTTCTTCCTTTCCTGCCTTTGAAAAGAGTGTACTCTCTTTTTTTTTTGTTTTGTTAATCCTCACCTGAGGATATTTGCCATTGATTTTTAGAGAGAGTGGAAGGAGGGGGAGAGACAGAGAGAGAAACAACGATGTGAGAGAGACACGTTGTTTGGTTGCCTCCTGCACTTGCCCGACCGGGGCTTGGGATCTGGCCTGCAACCAAAATACGTGCCCTTGACTGGAATTGAACCCAGGACTCTTCAGTCTGAAGCTGACAGAGCGCGCACTCTCCTTTGGGAGAGTTACAGCAGCACATCGCTTGGGCCTGTCATTAACAGGTGACACCTGCTACTCTTGGGACAGAAACTGGTGCCTGAGCACTGATCTTCTGTCCAAGGGCCATTGTCTGAGGGCCAAGATCTAAAGCTTCGACTCATGGGAAAGATTCCCTCCACCTGGTGCTCACGTGAAAGTGGAGTCATTTCTAGACTGGGCCCGTTTGGGGCAAGATCTCTCTTGGTCTGAGGAAAGTGACTGCTCTGCTAAAGAAGTCTCCTAGACTAGGAGGTGCAGCTATCATAGAGTGACCACGACTGTGACCCTGGACTTGGTGCTGGACATGGCCAGTTCTGCTGTGAATGGAGTCACAACAGAACCAAAATGGCTCTCTCCCAGGCTCCTGGAGAAGGGTGCCAATGTTGCAGGACCTCGTGGAGGTGCCCTCACTCCAGAATGCACGAAGCACTCCAAGTTATGACAGATGGCCCAGACGTGTGTCTTCAGCCAGCGTCCCTCTGCTGCCCCAGTCTAGCCTCTGTTCAAGGACCTCTGGTTCCTCTCTCACCTGCAGACTGAGATGACCTTGTGTGGGTGACGAGAACGTCCCCACTGCCTTTCCCTCTAACTCTCCTGCCCCAGACTGCCCACCTGTGTGGAGCTTAGATTTGGCAGTACCAGAGCTCTCCCGGATGCACAGAACTTGCTGTCACACTAGGAGCCTCCACTCGGGCTGACCTCAGCAGCATTTCTGACTGTTAGGATATTGAGATGGAGGCTTTAGTATCACACTTGGTTTTTAAGAGGATGTTCTGTAATGCTAGATGCCTGCCCTATACAATGTTAGCCTCTCTTCTCTGTGACTGGACTCGTTTTTCCCAGACATGCGTAGACTCCTAATAAAGCTGTTTCTTCCTTGGTGCCTTCTTTTTCCCTCCAGTTGTTTTGTGCAGAACAAAGAAATAATTGCCCAGTCTCTTGGGACCACTACCCGTCTGCCTCAGTGACTGCATTCAGCAGCCTACCAACAGGTGTCAGGGTATGGAGCACTGGGGCTTCGAGAGAGCAGGGCCTTGTGGTTAACAGAAGGAGACCTGAGCAGGGGATCAAAAGACCTGGCCTCTGGTCCCGGCTCTACTGACAAGCTGTGTGATGCTGGGCGAGTCCCTCTCTCTCTGGACTCATGATCCTAATCTAATAGGAGAGCACAGTTCTCTCGGAGCTTGTAGGATTCTGTCTCCTGTGACTGCGGAGTGCAGAGGCACACACAGGCTTTAAGGCAATGTGGTCCTCACGTGGGTGCAATTTTGCCCCCCAAGAGAACTGTGCCAATGTCTGGAGACACTTTTTGTTGCCACAACTGGATGGTACTACTAATTGGTAGAGGCAAGCGATACTGCTAAACATCCTACAATGCACAGGACAGACTCCGAAACACTTACCCAGCCCCAAGTATCACTAATGACAATGCTGAGAAATCCGGCTTAAGGGGACTGGACTCCAACTCTTTTTTTTCATCCCCTTTATTGATTAAGATACCACAAATGTGTCCTTATCCCCCCAATGTGGATTCCAACTCTTGCTCCTCCACTTTGCAGTCCTCTTTGTGATTCCTGGTAACCATGTTTGGCTCCTCCCCTAATCATCTCTTGCTGTGAAGGAACAGGAGTTTAATTTGCTAGCTTGTGCTAAAATTATTGGCTAGTCTTCAAACATTCATAGCTTTAGTAACTAGTGTATTAGGGTTCATTTAGAGAAGCAGACTACTGGAGTATGCAGTCTGTGTCTGTCCATCTAACCTATATGTGAGATTTATCACTGGGATTTGATCTTATTCAAGAATGGCAGTTATTTAAACGGTCTCGGGAAGGTTGTCTACGTGGCTGGTGGTAGAGCTGGGAATCCATGTGGCAGGCAGTGGGGAAGGAGGGATGGGAATACAGTGAGGGGAAAGCAAGGACAAGCTGGAGCCCACTGGGCTGGACTGGAACCCGAGTCAGTTCTCACTTTTGATGAAGTGGGGGTCCTGCAAAAGCTCACTGATGGCCTTTGTCACTGAGCTGAAAACAGCCCTGGCCCGGGCGTGAAAAGCTGCAGGGGGATCAAGGGGAAGGTAGCAGTTGCAGGCCCAACTGCTGCCCCATCACCAAGAGGGTCCCCAGCAGACACCAAAATGCCTGCCCCTCCCTTACAGGCATCACAAACTGACCACTACTTCACTTCCACCTTCCGGACCTTGCCCAGAAATCTCTCCTGTGGCACATCTAACGGGAAATGTACGGAGATGGAAAGTCTGGAAAATGTAGGTCACCTGGCCCCCTTGACGTGTTACAAAGCCACAACCCCTGGCTTCCCATTTTTGAGATGAGGGGAAAGAGGGCCCTGGCACCGGGCTGGTACAAGTTAACCTGTGCGGCGGTGGTCATGAGCTGGACGTCTGGAGTTCTCTTTCCTTTGGAGCAGGAAAAATCACTCGCAAAGTAAGGATGACTTACCCACTGTTGTGGTCTAAGGAAGTGTTTCTTGGACTTGATGAGAACTTCCACACTCTTTACTTCAAAGTGCTGGAGATTTTGCTTTTAAAGAGATCGGGAGAGTAATATAACAGCCCTCCTATAAAAGGGATTAGAGAAGCCAGATACAGGAGGTCCCCTATTGTGATTCCATTCATGGGAAATATCCAGAAAAGGTCAATCCATAGACAAAAAGCAGATTGGTGAGTGGCAGGGGCCGATGAGAGGGTCGAGTAGGGAGTAACTCCCTGATAGGTACAGGGTTTCCTTTGTGCGGGAGATGAAAATGTTTGGGGACTAGAGAGGGGTAGAGGGTGCACAATATTGTGAATGTACTGAAATTGTTCACTTTTAAATGTCCAGGTTACGTGAATATCACCTCAATAATAATTTTTTACTTTAAATGCAGATTAGAGATGAGTAGTTTTAAATTCTGGTCTCAATATCACTATTGTTATATAATAGAGTTTGGAATATCATTGATTTTTCCCAGCTCTATTGAGGTATAATTGTCAAAAGTTACATATATTTAAGGTATACAACATAATTTGATATTGTGAAATGATTACTACAATATCAAGTTAATTAACATACCCATCATCTCATAGTTACCTTTTATGTGGTGAACACACTAAGATCTACTCTTAGCAAACTTCAAGTATACAATACAGTATTATTAACTATAGTCACCATGGTGTACATTACATTCCCAGAACTTACCTTATTCATTCATTTCTTGAAAATAAAAAGGATTTGAAAAATAACTCTGAGTAGTGCTAAGACCTGTATGGTAGCCTAGTCTACAAAAAAATCTAGAAGTCCAGAACGAAGGACTTCTAGAACCCTCTGTTGGGAAAAGCAGGATCTGTAGCCCTGGTGTAGAACTTCTAGAAGTAGTGAAAGGAATTCATGTCCTCGTGTTGCAGATGAGGAAAACCTCTAGGTGAGGCTGGCCCCTTTAAGACTCCAAGGCAAGTAATTTGGTAACTAAGGAGTCATAATGGCAATTTTTCTTGGAAATGTAGTTCTTACCCTGAGGACCAGAAGTAATGAGGAGCAGAGCCATATCCTCCTCAGTTGGGTTGGTGAGAGGTCTATGTAAATGGGCTTACACTTCTTTGGCTTCCTTTTCTAAAATCTAGATGTCCCTGAACTAGACCAGAGAGCATGGTATTTCGTTTGGGCTCTTTTCTATTCTGTGGGGGAACAAGGTTTAGTGAAATGGGAAGACTTTCTATGAAATATGGTTTAAGTGCTCAGTCCTATTTCTAAAACAGGAGGGAATGGGAGGGAGAAAGTCTTACCCCAAAGGCACCTGTGAGCCCCATTGCTAATGTTAATGCATCTGCTGAGAGAAGTGCCTATGGAGGAACATCGCTCTGGATTTTTGTTCAGGTTTTTCACAAATCCAGGTATTCTCGATTAACGGGCAGTCAGTGCTTAGGACTTCTCACGCTGAAACAGAGAAGTGGATGAGAGCTGTGAGTTCAGGGCTTGGAGGAGATGGGCTGAAGCCCACCACCATGAGAACTTAGGACTTGGGCACACACACACCCTCCTTCATAGACTCCTTCTTCTTCCAGGATAGGGAGCCAAATTGATCCGTTGGCTTAGAGATGGACATGCTAAAGGACCTTACGTCCATGCAGTTTGAATATGGGATTGAAGAGGAAGACCGCTGCTGGCTGTATTTGCAGGGTCGTTATCAGGGGCGGATGATCGAGGCCTGTGCCCACGCAACCTTCTTCTGCAAGCTACTCCATAATTTGAGGTAAGCAAGGTCTCCAGGGTCAGACAGATGGAGAAGAATCTCACTGCAAAGACTCCAAATGGCTTTAACTTTTTATATTGGAGAATAACTTTGGTGTCTTCCTACCTTTTCCAACCCACAGTCTATTATTCCTGGTCTGAAAACACCAGAGAAATGCATACTGAGGTCCCTTGGCTGTGGTTCTGTCATAAAGCATGGATCAGTGGTGATTTCCTTTCAGTGGGTGGATTGATTAAATAATAAATTCATTCATCCCTCCATTCATTCATTCACTCATGGAGATGACCAATGACTTGTCATCCCATGAAGATGGCATGAGTTCCTTTTTAAGGGGCTAATAGTGGAATGCTCCCTGATAGGAAAGCCATCTTAGACTTCAGGGTCCCTATGACCAGATGATTTGCTTGAAACCAGAAACACTGATTTACAGAGAAGCTCTCAGACCAGTCCTGGCTTCTGCTATCTTTGTACAATGTGGCTTCAGACACTTAAATAGAAGTCATGTGAGAGCCAGGTACCTAGGTCTAAGCTCTCGGGTTCTGTAACTCTAGGGTTACTCTTGGAGTATTTGAAAGCACCCGCTCCCCAGTCTACTTGCATTGAAATTAGATTAACTCCTTGTTGATGGAACTAGACCTGAAATGAACTTGTTATAGATACAGCATATACCCAAGGAGGCAGGCTGCTCAAGGAGTTTGCTGATTTGTTGACTGATAAGAAGCATAAACCTATTGTTTAATTCAAGATGAGTGGTGAGAAACTGATATGTGAAACTTCCGGGAAGGATTTTATATTTGGAAGGGTCAGGCACTGAGAGAAAATGCTCTCCTGTCAGCCAAGAGAGAAGCCTTAAATAGAATGTGGCTTGTGATGCTTATATGGAAACTCCAGAACTTTGATTTTTATTCTTTTATTTTTTTGAGCTTTAATTTTTCAAAAACTAAATACAGAACAAATATAAGGCTGTCATGTAACAACATAAAACAATGCCTGCTGATTCCTGAGGTCAGACTGTTTATCTTGGG